TTACTTATGTTTGTAGGTTGTACAAGCAAGCATATTGTTATACAGGGTTGCTCATTGGCCATTATAGACTACCCATTACAATAGCCCCATAAAATTGTTAAAACCCCATAAAACAAATATTTTATTACCCCTAATTACAATCTACTCTTTGGGATTTACTGTAACAAATGACTTTAACTGTTATAAATTATAAAATTAATGACGTCATCAACTTCATAAATGGACAAGAATTGAAATAATCAAAACCTGAGCTAGCTATTCGCTGGGCTTATACCTTGAACTCTTCTGTTTGTTTGATGAATTGCAAACACATTCACCTTTAAATAGCTCCATAGATTAAAACTAGACTTTAAATCATAATGGTTATTCATTAAAATTACGTTTTACAAAACTAGTATGTACCTGTTTAATTGACTACGTATAGACTTTAGGTTTAGAGGGTGTACAGTTACCCGTAAACAACGCAACCGCTTCGGATAATGAAATTGCAGGAAAACTCGCTTTGGCATCGCATTCGTTCATTCACTACAAAGATACACATATAATATTTTAATTTGTATTTGTAGTTGCAGTAAAAAAACTCATCTCCTCACTGTAATATGATATCAAATATCTTTTACCCAAAATTTCCTGAATCCTAAAATTTAGTACAAAACTCGTCAGTAAAATAAAATTACCTCAACCCCACAGGGACCTCGTACTTCAATATTTCCTCGCCAGGAATGTGTCATTTTCCTGACTTTTATGTAAATAACTATATATTTTAGAAAACAAGGAATCACAATTGGGGGACTCCAACTGCATACTGTAACGAGTGACCGCTTTGCAATTTTGAAGTTCAGCATAGGAGGGGATTCTCTAAAAGGGGTCAATAAACTTCTTTCATTTAAACTCAAATTCATTAAAGATAATTTTCAAATTTATCCGCTCTTCTTGGGGAAACGTAATGGGGACGAGCGAGAACGTTTAGTGGATATTTATATTGAGGTGAGAATTGTTCAAATGTTCTGATTAATGGTAAATCTACACGTATAGCATCCCTTAAAAAGCGCTATTAAATTTCAGTTATGCTCAACTTCATTAAACATAATTATCAAATTTACCCGTCATTCTTAGGGAACGTAATTGAAACGAGCGAGACCATTTAGAGAATGCGTAGGTAGGAATTGTTCAAATATTCTGACGTGATAATACGAATCTACGCGTATAATCCTTTAAAAGGCGTTAATAACGCTCTTTTATTTTGGCTCAACTTCATTAATAGTTATTTATTATACAAGACCACAAAGGGGTGTTTTAACGGTCAAGTGAAATATGGTTAGCTTCGTGTATAATATAAAATTTTATTTTATAGCGAAAGCCATAGAAATCATT